CCACAGCCGGCCCTGGGCTACAGCCAGATCACAGTGTTAGGTGGGCCACAGCCGGCCCTGGGCTACAGCCAGATCACAGTGTTAGGTGGGCCACAGCCGGCCCTGGGCTACAGCCAGATCACAGTGTTAGGTGGGCCACAGCCGGCCCTGGGCTACAGCCAGATCACAGTGTTAGGTGGGCCACAGCCGGCCCTGGGCTACAGCCAGATCACAGTGTTAGGTGGGCCACAGCCGGCCCCGGGCTGCAGCCAGATCACAGTGTTAGGTGGGCCACAGCCGGCCCCGGGCTACAGCCAGATCACAGTGTTAGCTGGGCCACAGCCGGCCCCCGGGGTGCATCTTGCCCAGCTTGGCCCAGACTGCTGCACTGGGCAGCACGGTGTGGGGAGGAAGGGGGCAGCCCTTGCTGGAGAAAGAAGAGGTTCGGGGCTGGCCAGACACAGATCCCTGGGGCCAGAGCTGAGGGATCCGCGGTGCTGAGGTTGTTGGCTGATGTCACTGCGGAGCCTTTGGCCAATATCTTTGAAAACTCGCGGCGATCAGGGAGGTCTGGACAATTGGAACAAGGCAAATGCAGGGCCCGTCTTTAAATCCAGGGAACTACAGCCCGGTCAGCCTCACCTCAGTCCCCGGAAAATCCTGGAGGGGAACCTCAGGGGACACATTGGGAAGCCCTTGGAAGAGGGGAAAGTGATCAGGAACCGTCAACATGGATTCCCCCAGGGCAAGTCCTGCCTGGCCGACCTGGCTGCCTTCTCTGAGGAGGTAACTGGCTCTGTGGAGGTGGGAAGTCGGTGGACGTGATCCACAGTCTCTTGCCAGCGAGTGATGCCGTCCGGCTTGGACACACGGGCTGGAAGGCGGCTGGGGAGGGATCAAGCCCTCGATGTCTGGCTGGCGGTGGGTGTGGGGCGAATGCCCCGGGGGTCGGGTCTAGGGCGGGTTTATTACTGGCCTGGCTGAGGGGATGGTTTTCACTCTGCGCAACGTCACTGATGACACTGGGCTGGGGGAGAGGGAGCGAGGCCGGGGGCAGGGCCAGGGTCCAGAGTGACCTAGGGAAACTGAGGGACGGGGCCCAAAGAAATCTGAAGAGGTTCAAGAAGGACAAGAGCAGAGTCCGGGGCCCGGGGCAGTGAGGCCAGAGCTGCAGGCCGGGGGCAGGGCAGGTCCGGGAGGCCCAGGAAGGGGGGAGGTGACTGGAAAGGATCCGGAGGCGAGGGGCCAGGACGTGGGGGTGGCCAGTGGGGGAAAGAGGAGCTGGGCCAGGGGCTGCAGACACTTCCGACGTGGCCGGACAGAGGGAGACGGGCTGGTCCCTTCGCCGCGAGGGCCCCGGGTTCAAAGTGCAGCGGAGCAGAGCGAGACGGGCTCTCGGGACAGACGCCGCGGCCGGGAGTGTCACAGGCCAATGGGCCAGACGCAGGGGAGCTGCTCCCCCGTGCCGGGTCTGTGTCCCGCCCGCCCCCTTCGCACTGACCCACATCCGTGGGGTGAGCCCAGCCGCGGGAGAGGGGTGAAGTTTACAGTATGTGCCCCCCTGGGTATCTATATCTGCCCCTTGCTGTGCCTGCCCCACCCAAGTCCACCCACTAGGGAAGCTCCACTTCCCACCTTCCCTCTGCTGCCCCCCGGGCATTAGTGGGAAGGGGGCTCAGAGAGGAGAGCTGGGGAGTCCCCTGCACTCTGTGGCCCCTCACCCGACACCCCAGTTCTTGGGCGGGGGGGATGCTGTCTTGGAAATCCAGCCCCGGCATCCTGCTGCCTTCCCCTCCCTCCGGCCGGGGCTGCTGGCGGCCTCCCTGCAGCTGGGGCAGGCTATGCAGTGTGTGTGGGGCTGGACAACGAACCCAGGAGTCACGGCTCAGAGGCTTTGCCACCCCGAGCTGGGAAACAACCCAGGAGGCCTGGGTCTGAACCACAGCGCTCTAACCACTACACCGCACTCTCTCCCCAGAGCTGGGACAGACCCCAACAACCCCGCTCCCCACCCGACTCTCTCCCTTTATTGCTCCTTTTCCGGTGGCACAACCCAAATTTCACACCAGCAGCTCACACCTCCTGTGTATTGTTCAGGCTGCAGGCCCCAGTCACTCACCTGGAGCTGAGATGCAGCTGCTTCTGGGCCGGAGCAGGGGGGAACAGCGCCCTGGAACAGCAGGGGCCAGCTGAGGCCGGGTGGCGAATCCCGATCCGGTGGAGCGAGCTGGGCGCGTGTGGAGATCGGGCTGGCGGGGAGCAGGCGTGAGTGTCGGGCAGGAGCTGAGTGAGGCGTGAGATTTCAAGGCAGAAAGGGGAAGTCAGCGGGTGACTCTGGTGCTAGGAGGTGTTG